TCACGCTAATTTGTTCAGCACCCAGGGTAGCTAGGCTTATCAAAATGGGTTAGCCGTTTGATAGTAATTGTGTAGATATGTATGTATGTGCATACATATGTATATTAAGCATCTGTAGTGTAGTGTAGTGACGTTTACGTGCTCTTCACCTGTCTAGACCATGGCAACCCAAAGTCATTGACATTGATAATATTCCTAACTGTTTTGAATCGTTGATGCAAATGTATTTGGAAGCAGTGTGTATAAATACTAAAAACGTATGCAAGTTAGGTGTTTCGATGCATCTATGGAAAAATACCGATTTCTGTCATGTCAGCAGCGAGTGATCTTAATGGCCCAAAGAGCTTACACGCTCTAGCCACCTAATTCTATTGTAATACTTTTGTTAAAATTCCATTGCTGATAGTGATTAATTGAATATGTTAGCACGAATAAATATTAACATATTACAGCGCATTAAGGCCACCATTAAAAATAGCAAAAGTGCAAGCTGCTAGGAGCTGTTTAATTTCATTTCATAACAACGTGCGGCAGTTTATTATGTATGTATGTATGTATAAAAAAAACATCAATAACGTCGTTTTTGGGTTTTCTCTCGCGTAAGGATTTTTTAAAAGGACTTTGGCTAAGTCAAAACTTTATTTTAAAAATGCATTGCAATGTAGAATAGCAAGATGGGTATCAAATAAAAGAGAAAATTCTATAAAATTGAAAAAAAAAATTTTTGTGAACAAGGACGAATACTTATTGCATATGGTTCTTAAACCTTTATGAATGTCCTTGAAAATTTTATATTTATTAAAAGAAAAAAAATATACATATGTTAAGAACATGTTGATGAACATTCCCACATTCTCGAACTTCGACTAGAGATGCCGCTTTTAAATAGATTAAATGGAAGATCGATTAATCGAGCCCTTCCGATTCGATTTGTTTCGAATTTTTAGTTCCGAATCGATCCGTGAATCGATCCAAATAATACGAGAATCGAAATTCGGTTTTTTCTTAATTGATGCATATCACATTGCACAGGAAAATCTAGAAAATTTGAATTTTACGCTGCTTCTTACGAACTTCAGGGCTCCTCAGGGAAGGCCTTGATAAAATGTCACAAATATTAGAAATATACAAACTAAATAGTAGTTTTTTGCTCGGAAATGGCTAGATATTATATCCAGATGTAATTTCGAGTATTACTCGAAACGCGAATTGGAACAAAATTATATTGAAAAAATGAAAGCATTTCAAACATTTGGGGGATAGCTCTTCGGCATGAAACAATCACGGCAATGTACAGGACTGAAGACCTATTCTGACTTAAATCAATCGATGTGCCGTTTTTTATTTATATTTGGCATGGTGTTTTCACCCTTTTGATGACAAAATTCCAATGAATTTGACATAGTGAAAACCAGCCTTAATATGGCCTTCTTTAAGAAAATTTAAAATCGGCCTTTTTTCATAAAATATTTAAATACTATTATTTTTGTTTACTTGTCAAGGTTTATCAAAGTTTGGTTCCTTCAAATATATGTATGTCACTTGTCACTACAGTTAACGTTGAGGAACTAAAGCAAAAATGAACTGCTCACATATGCTCCATTTTGATTTTCGAAAGACGAAACACGATAAGTCGAAAATTGTAATTTTGGGTTTTATTTGCACAAATGCTCAATGTCTAGTTATAAGGAGAGACGATTGTCGCTTTGCTAAGTTGCCAGTCCGACCTTTCATGTGGTAAAAATTACGTAACGATCGAATACTATCTGTCAAAGATCTATTGAAAAAATTCGAGCCATCGTTAATATTTTCAGACTTTTTTCTTTATCTTTAAAAATAGCCCCACAGTCAAGAGCGTTCATCGGAGAAGTCGTCGGGCGAACCTTTTAAGGACTATGAAACTGGAGAACAATACACTCTCATATGAAACTGAAGAAACATCAGTTATTCGCAATCAAGAGCCAGTCTGCCACAACGAAGTGTACATACATATGTAAGTATGTACATTAGGGTGATCTCACCCCAAGGATTCTTTGAAATGAAAAAAAGGAATACCCGTTTTTTGTTTAAAATTTTTTTATTTAGAACTGCCTCAAAGCCGATGATATTTTCCATGTATTCTATATGGGGAAAGACACTTTTTCGTAAAAATATAGAATTCTTGAAAATCAATATTTCTCAATCGGAAAAGTCTATATCTCTATAAGAGACTTCCAGTAACAATACCCAACTGTTTATTTTAACATTTTTTAATATTAACTATTTTTTATAGGTGTGCCAAAAACCACAAAAAATGCAAAGGGGGAAACAAAAAAATCCTTAAATCTGATTTGCTTATCCAAATTAATTAATTCAGTGAGAGTCCGTGTGAAAGGCCCATTCATAGCAGAATTAGTTTTAAAATCATCAACAAAAAATGTATTATGGCGCCTTACATTTTTTAATCGGACTTCTAAATTTTATAGATTCCAACAATAAATGGCAATCAATATTTCCATTAATAATATCATAAAGAAATGTAAGTGCTGATATTATTCTTCTGCTTTGAAAAGTTTGTAATCCAATTAGTTTGCATCTTGAAATACATATATGGAGGCAAGGGTAATTCAAAATTAATTTGCGATAGACAGTTTTTTAAAAATATTTTTTGCACACGCTTTAATCTTCTATTGTGAGCTTCATAAACTGGATTCCAGAATACAGATCCATATTCCAGTTTTGATCTTACAAAAGCTTTCGTATATATGGATCTTTAATCTTTTAATAAAGGCAAGAGAAGCAAAAGCATTTGGCATTACATAATTAAGATGCTCAACAAATGTAAAAGTAGAGTCAAATAAATACAACACCTAAATCCCGTATTTTGAGAACACGAGATGACAGCGTATCAGGAATATGATAGGATGAAGATATCTTATACTGGATGATCGTAGAATAAGTTACAACAAAGCATTTTGTGTATTAACTTCTAACCTATTTGACACCACTCAGTGAAATTATTCAACTCAGCTTGAAGAGCTAAAACATCAGGAAATTACAGTAATTAATGTAACAACTATAAAAATGACGAAAGGCCCAAGTATACTTCCCTGTGGAACTCCCGAGGTCGCGATATAGGAAATGATTTAACATTGACAATCACAACGTAGTTTATTCTATTGCTTAGATAGGACTCAACCCAGCGTAAAAATGTGTAATGAAAACCTAATTTTGTAAGCTTAGACAGTAGCAGTTCATGGGAGACTCTATCGAAAGCTTTGGATATATCTGTATAAATAGCATCTACTTGCTACCCATCTGTAAAAGATGAAATGCAATAATTAGAGAATACAGGAAGATTACTAACTGTAGAGCGTCCAGGAACGAAACCATGCTGAGCTGAACAAATAAAATGCTTGAAAGCAAAAGTTAATTTTGCCATAACGATTTTTTTCAAAAAGCTTGAAATTGTTGGAAGTTTCGAGATTTGGCGTTAGTTGGAGATTTCAGTTTTACTGCCACTTTTATGAACGGGAGTGATGAGCGTGATTTTCCAGTCATCTAAAAATATGCCTGCTTTTAATGATAAGTTAGATAGTGGAAAAACAATCGTTGACGCACAATGTTTAAGAAGAAAGAAAAAAAACACAGTTGCGTATTATTATTGGAAGTCTCCTGAAGAGAAACAGAGTTTTCCGAACGAAAAATATCGACTTTCAAGAATTCTATGGCATTTCTACGAAACAGAGTTTTCCGAACGAAAAATATCGACTTTCAAGAATTCTATGGCATTTCTACGACAATCTGTTTTCCCCATAAATAAATCTAAAACTTTTGGGCTTTGAGGCAGTTCTAAATATTATTATTTTCAAAGACAAAAAAATACGGCTATTCTTTTTTCCATTTAGAAAAACCTAGGGGGTGAGAGCTAAACATTTTAAACTATTTTTTGATCACCCTAATGTACATATCGTCGTTTAAAGTACAAAAGCGCGTATGTGAGGTTGCATAAATTATTTTCTAGAGAGTAAAAACACTCATATTTCAAAATGGTTCTCTTTTTTTTACAAAGAAATCGCATTTCTGGCGAGTATATTTCAGGCCGAAGGGATAAGGATTGGGCCAAGAGCTTGTGTGAGCAAATCTAGTTTTTGGCAGCCAAAGACAGTTACGCGGTTTTGCAGAATGACGATACGCGGTTTTGTACTTTAAACGACGATATGTATAAACATATATTAGATTATAAATTGCTAGCTTCTTTTTACAAGTGCAAAATAGATATATGTTTCAGTTTTGTGCAAGAAATTCTAGATTTTTTTTCGAAAGAGGTATATGGTAAATAAGAATAGATAAGTGTAATACCGTTTGTAGAGATCGCAGTTATTTTCTTACTGCTAAAATCATCTACACAATGTCAATTAAAGTCTTGAGAGCAAGCATATTGTCATGAGTTAATTTTATTTTGATACGAGTATTTAAAGAATATTTTTGAGAAATGCTTTGTTGACCTAGTTCCCAAAACAAGAATCATCCTGCTTAACTATTTGGACGATTTGGGCTTTCAGGTTATTTGTACTTCATATTACATATGTACATGTGTATGTATGGACCCAAAAACACTCAACTGTAAGAAAGCATTTTCATTAGCTTATGAATAACAATTTTAATGAAAGTGAAATCAGCGTGCACGTGCACTTAAAATTAATAAATGAGCAGTTTATTTTGAAAGTGGCATAAGTTAATTTCATGCCGCTTGGTTTTAGTGATCAGTGATCACTTACCTGTATCTGAACGCGTCTGTTATTCGTTCAACTTTCACAGCCAAAATAAAAGGTTTTGTCATTAGGTTTTTGCGCTAGAATGATTTATAGATGCAACCACTTAAGCACAAAAGATGGAAATGACTTATGCCACTTTCAAAATAACCGGCTCAAATGCTCTTCCCCATCAGCTGGTATGAATGAGAATTGTCAAGGTGACTCAAAAATTAACAGCAAATACCCATATTCGCGTTTACTCACCCACTTGTTCGAGAAGGCGCATGATCTCCAGCATGATGACATTGGTCTTGCAACACGCGCTGATATTGAACGCATTGACGCCACGGAATAGTAAAACGGTTTGGCGTTAGGCGTCGCCACATGCTTATATATATTTAATATATATGTATGTAGTAGGTAAATTGAGGCTGCAAAGAAAATTTCATTTGATGAAATATGTACATAAGTATATCGCACGTTTATTGACGTATCGAAGTATTTGAAAATTTTTCGGGAAAAAAAGTTTTATCAATTCATACATTTGATATACAAAAAGACAGATGGATAGACACATATCCTCGCCATGTTTGGGAAGTTTGGTCATCTGTTAGACTGAACATATTCTCCTTATAATGAAATCTCCAAAAACCTAACCTTTGAGTTATGTATGTATTTGTTTTTCGTTATTTTATATAAATTAATAAGTACCCAATAAATATTTGGCTTTGTTAACAATTTGAAAACGATTGTTGAACGTTGTTTTGTTGTGCTTGAAGAGAGTTGCCACCTGTTTAAAAAGTTAAACTCAAATTAAACTGTAGGACAGCAGAAACTAGCCCGGACCTTGATCACATTTTCTGAAAGTATACCCATCTAGTAGTAAAACACTCGGTGGATTTGCAAAAGTTAGCTCGTATCTTTATTTCATGGCCTACTAAAGTTTTCATGTCTCGGCCTAAGTAGTTTCCAAAAAAGTCGAAAAAATAGTTAAAACAAATGTCTGAGCGAAATGAAAGGTTAAGACATATATAATACAATTTCATGGGAAATATTTTCGTAAAACATTTTAACCTATTAGCTCCCGCCTAAAAGAGTCATTTTGACCTTTACTTCAATAAATCCCGCAAAAAGCAAATTTGGAAGGTCGTTAGAGGATTGGTATATTCTAGAAAACTATTTTACTAGGAGCCTTCTCATTCAAAAGCTTAATGCTACCAACGTAAAAGCCTCTAAAAATTTAAAACAAAAAATAAAAAAAAGTACTTTTTACAAAAAATTGCTTAAATTTTAGTTTGGAATAACAGTTCCTTCTTGGCACAGATTTTTTGTCTCGATGCATCAGATCGAAAAACATGTATTTTTTACTTGCATCCCTAAGACAGAAACAAGAAAGTTGATTTTTTTTGGAAATAAAGATGAAATTCGATTTTTTCTAGAAAAATTCGATTATATCCGAATTTTAGCAACACAAAGTTCGATTTTAAAAACTCCATTCTGGAGCTAAAATTCGATTAAAACTCGAATATCGGAGCTTCGAAAATCCCATCCCTATTATAGGATAAGTGTACTATTTTAATTTTCAAACAAAAATAACTAAAATACATAACTTAGTATGTATGAAGCGAAGGTAGGTGTGTCTATTGTATGGGGAAGGGACGCGATTTAATTTTCTTTAAGCAGCCTTTGTTTATCTTCAGTAATAGATTGTAGATTTGTGGACTTTTTGTTTGCCGATACACTTAAACTTTGTTTCGCGTCGCTATACACTCTCGCCAATCTTATCACTTTCTTTACATTTCCTTGCGAATTGCTCATTAATAAAGAAATGAAAGTACATACATGTGGTATTCGATGGTGCTTCCCCCAATAGATATGGGCTTGTGAAATTCGACATAAAAATTATAAATAAAAAAATACGTATATATGTACATTTCTATCACGTGCAGTGCAATCCCGATAATTAGTAATAAAATGGGTTAAAAAAATATATGTTTCTTACTAAAACAATAAAATTAAAACTTNAAATTAGTTAAATTAAAATGAAGAAAAAATAAAATAAATTTCCTAAAGTAAGTGGCATTTAAACAAAAATATTTTTTCTTTTTTACACAATAAAATCTTGAATTAAAAAAAAATATAAAAAATATTTAAAACTGAAAATATTAAATACATTCCTAAAAATGAATTGAAATTAAAAAAAGCTTTTTTAAGCCTACTTTATTTTTTATGAATAAAGCCATAAGACTTTTGTGCCAGAATAACAAAAGTCTTTCGAACTATCTTGTCATCTGTCTTTCATTTGTCTTACGAAAGGGCTTTCACTGAATCCATCGTAGGTTCGCAATATCTATTAGTTCAACAACAATTTATGAGGAAAGAAACCTAAATACTTTCATATCATAAAAATTAACTTAATTTAAAAAAAATCTCAAATAAAACCAAAAGATAAAACAGAGTAATTTTTAAGCAAGAACGCAACCGACTTCAATATTCATATAAAAATTAAAATTTTTCATGATCCAGTGATCGCATCTAAACAAATTAGTATGGGACCACTGTGAGACACTACTTTTCCGATATAAAAAGAATTATCGGTTGACCTGGACCAAAGTTATGCGGCAAAATACATAAGAAAAATATTCCTATGAATTGATAACAGCGTGGCCACTTTTGTTGTTAACTGTTTACTTTACTTCTGAGAAGGTTATCATAACTATATGGATATTTTCAAGTTCCCGATTCTTATTGCACTCAGAAAGGTAATTGACTTATATAATGTGTGTCATATATAAGTTTGTTATAGGATGAACATATTATTTGGAGGGTAAATGGGGGAAAAGCGGAGATGTTTCATTAAACATATATTTATAGTTTCATGTGTGTGTACATACGTGCCTATGTACATACTTACATATGTACATATTTATGCATGTATGTACCTATACTAGGCGACAAATTAAAGTGCACACCTTATACGAATATAATATTCACAATTATTTTCGTGAAACATATTTTGCATTAAATATTTATGAAGACACATGTAGTTCATTCTATAATCAGCCTCATTGCGTAAGTCGTAAATTAGGTTAAATTGTACGACTCGACAACAGCAGCATTGTCTATTGTCGTACTGAAATAAGTAAACGACCAAAAGCGTCGAAAACTATACAGTGCTGCCAAGGTTTTCCGTTTTAATACACTAGTCGAGTGGAAATTTTAGGCAATGACGTGAAATTTTCGATACGATTCGACTCTCGAAAAACGACTTGCATTCGACACGGCTCTCACAATGAGGGTCAATATAAACTATATTAATCAAAGTTTCACACTTTATACAAAGTTCACAAAAAAAAGTTCTTAAAAATTTTCATCAGCATTTGTTTTATTCAGGATTTCTAGAAAATTCTTGGGTATGCAGTTTTGTAGCGCATTCAATTTTAGTCCAATGAAGGGCAAGTACAAATGGCGTTGCTTTTTGAGAATTCTTTTTAGGGGACGGATTTTTGTACTTCTTTCCATGTAGGCATGAATTTCCTATGAAATAAAATGCGGGAGACCGTTAGCATCAAAATTTCAAAAAATCTACGCAACTTTTTGTAAATTGCACTTGTTATATAAAAAAGTAATTTTTAAGCAAAAAACAAACCGGACTTCAATTCTCTTATAAAATATATATATATATATTTCATGATCCAATTATCGGTTCTAAACCAGATTAGTATGGGGCCACCTCTAAGACACTATCTTTCCGATGCAAAAAAACTTATCGCAATCGGATGACGTGGTCCAAAGTTATGCGATAACATACATAAAAAAAAAAAATATTCCGACGAACTGATGACCTCTTTCTTTTTTGGAAGTCGGTTAAAAAAAACACTCCCCAAAAATCAAAGCGATTTTTTAGCCGGTTGAAACTCCTTGGATTAAAATTAAATGGGCTACATAACGGCATACTCGAAATTTCTAGAAATTCTGAATAATACAAAAAATCTTTGCGCATTTTCATTTGACCACTCAGTACTTCTTAATTTATCCATCGATTTGCTTCATGAGTAACTTGATTTGTATGTAACAGAGCGAGCTTTAGCGCAACTGCAAAAATTTGACACAGAATCTGTTAGGTTTTTAATTTTTCTGCTGTTACAATTTGATTTGTTTTTATTTTTTTCATAAAAAACTAGAATGATTAATTAATTTGTCTGAAACAATCAGTCCTATCGGAAATTGACGTATAGACGGTTTATGGAAAATTTTGTTAGCTTTCATTTGTCATATTCCATTTTCAGTTTGTTGAATTGTTCATGAGATATAAGTGACTAAGTAGAACCACCTTTTGTTTTAAGCTGAATAACGGTACATTAAAAATATCTCGAAAACGTATCCACAGAATAAAAAATTAACTTGATTTTTGGAATCAGCGGCGATTCTACATACAAATTGGATGGTGGCGTCTGGAGATTTAAAACATGTGATCCAGTGTAATTAATGAAAAAAATGTTTCATGAAAATAATTTTGAATTTTGTATTAGAACAAGGTTTTTTTTTGTTTGTTGTAGAGGTGGCACAAAGCATTGAAAGCCGATAAGTGTGGGACTTGCCTTTCGGCTCACCGCACTAAAAACCCACCCCTGCTCCGTTTCCCTCCTTCCGTGGAACAACCGCAAGGTATTCGCGGAAAGGTATTAATCCGCTTGACGCAATTTTCTTAGGATAGTGCTTGCCATATGACAAACAGCGGACCAATTTTCTGTTGACTCAAGCATGATATCCACAAGGTTGTCAACGTTAAGTGGCCTCCCCACCTTTATGCTCAAGTCGTCCCTTTGGGTTGCGAACTGCGGACAGACGAAAAAACAATGTTCAGCGTCTTCGATTACCTGCCCTGTACAGAAAGTGCAGTACGGGTCGTCTTCGTGCGTAAATCTGTGCAAGTATGCTTTAAAGCAGCCGTGTCCGGTTAGTATTTGAGTCAGGTAGAAGTCAACCTCTCCATGTCTTCTGTCAAGCCATTTGCTTATACTCGGAATAAGTCTATATGTCCAGCGTCCGTTAGTTGAGTGGTCCCAGCGGTCTTGCCACTGCTGCAAACAATTTCGTCTCACCCTTTCTTTCTCCTGCTTTTCAGATATTGCACCTATTTCTTTTGCCACTATGTCAATAGGACAGAGACCTGCTACTACTAACGCTGCTTCCTCTGACGTTGTTCGGAAAGCGCAACATACTCTTAAGGCACAAAGTCGTTACAGTGATCTAGCTTCCCGAGCGTAAGATTTTGTCTTCAGTGCTGTTGACCAAACTGGTGCTCCATACAGCAGAATGCTTCTAACTACACTTACATATAAAAGTCTGCGTTCTTGCTTAGGCCCCCTGACGTTTAGCATTAGTCTTGACAGCCTTGCTGCTACTTTTTCCGCCTTTTCGACT